GGGAGACCACCCGGAAACGGCCAAAGCCATCGCTAGGGAAATCGGCATCATTCCTCGCAACCTTGGCGTGCTGCCGGCGGGCGTGGCTGAGAGTGCCGTCATGAAAGCCACTGATTTCGACAAGCTGTCAGACGAAGAGATCGACAATTTGCAAGAGCTTCCCCTGGTTATTGCTCGTTGCGCCCCTGAAACCAAGACGAAAATGATCGAGGCCTTGAGACGGAGGGGAGCCTTCATGGCTATGACGGGTGACGGTGTTAACGATGCGCCATCGCTCAGCAGAGCGGACGTCGGTATTGCCATGGGATCTGGTTCGGATGTTGCCAAGTCTGCCGCCAAAATCGTGCTGACTGATGACAAGTTTAACAGTATCGTTGCTGCTATCCAGGAGGGCCGCCGCATGTTTGAGAACATCCAAAAGTTTATCCTCCACTTGTTGAGCAGCAACGTCGGCGAAGTCATCTTGCTCATTGCCGGTCTCGGGTTCCGCGACCAGGACGGATTCTCCGTCTTCCCCATCTCGCCTCTCGCCATTCTGTGGATCAACATGGTTACCTCCTCCTTCCCGGCCTTCGGCTTGAGCAAAGAGCCTGCCTCTCGGGAAGTGATGAGGAAGCCCCCGCACGACCGCAAGAGGGGTGTGTTCTCGAACCAGATCTTGTGGGACATGATCGTGTACGGCATTCTTATGGGGACCTGCACGCTCATGACCTTTATCATCGTCGTCTACGGCAAGTACGGCGGAGATCTGGGCAAGGACTGCAACCGCGGGTACAACGACACGTGCATCCCCGTATTCCGGGCCCGAGCCGCCGTGTTCGCCCTGCTGACCTGGCTGATCCTGCTTAGCGCCTGGGAGTTCAAGAGCATCCGCCGAAGCATGTTCCGCCTCGACCCGGACAACCACAAGAAGTTTGCCGTGTTCCACGACCTCTGGTCCAACAAGTTTTTGTTTTGGGCCGTCCTGATCGGCCTCGTTAGTGTTTTCCCCACCGTTTACATCCCCGGCCTGAACAGGAACGTGTTCAAGCACACCGACATTAGCTGGGAGTGGGGCGTTATCATCGGCATGTCGATTGTGTATGTGGTTGGTATTGAGTGCTGGAAGGCCGTCAAGCGCCACACTGGCATCCTGGATGACCACAAGGTGCCCAGGAGCGCCTGGAGCCAGGGTGACGATGGCGGAAAGAGAGAGCGGACCATGAGTTTCTCACTCTCTAGAAGCTTTGGGAGGACCAAGAGCTTCTTGGCCAGGACCATGACGAGCTCGACGGCAGGAAACCCTGCTGCCGATGATCTACGGGTCTAAATGGCGCATGTTGATGATGTTTTTTTTTTTTTTTTTTGGACCTTGTTGTGTTGGCTTTTGAGTGTTTTTGTTGCTGTTGTCGTTGTGTTTGCGACAGATACCCGGCCTCGGCTCGACTTGCGAGCACCTGGCTAACCAGTGGATGCCTGACGTCGTGGTGGTTAGACATTGCTATGCTTTTTTTTTTCCTTTTGATAGTTCGATGTTGACGAAGATGAGAGAAGACAAAAATGAGGGGAGGATTAACGAGGGCTAAAAACGAGTGTATGAATTTTCCTTTGATGTGATTCAGCTTTGATACCACGACCTTCCGGGCCTTGTTGCTCTAAGTGTTGTTTTTCTGCATATAGCGAAGAGGAAGTGAAGTGAGGATACTTCATGTCGTGCTATAAAATTGAACGAGTCGTCCAAAAACATGGTGCTTCCGTCGTTGTGATCTTGAGATGACCGGTGGTGTAATGTGTACTTCTTCTATGCTCACCTTGTGCCTGCCTGGAGGTACTTAGTCCAATACAGAGTTCTATGTCTTTACTAGCCGAAGAGCGTGATGCTCCATGAGATTGATCAGATTGCCTAGTTCACGTCTCTTCCTTGGTGGTGTTTCTCCTCCAGTATAGAAAAAAAAGGGGGCCCGTTCAGACGTCGGGAGCTTATCGATAAAGAAATCGGCATCACTTCAGGGGTAGAGGTACCTTGGTAGATTTCAGTGCAGCCCTGGCCCTGGCAGGCATTAATTACAGGGCAGGCACCACGTCGCCTAGCGCTTTTCCAGCGTAACAGCGACCGGGTCCCCTGAGCCAGCCCGCGTAAAGGACACCTCGAACCTCCACTGACTGACTGCATGAACGTGAGCCATCTTCCATCACCATCGACGGTAGATACCTTCCTCCATTCCTTAGGTTTATCTCGACAATTCAATTCCATCCATTCCTTCGTCGACAGCCGCTCGTTTTCTACAACTTCGATAATCTCGTAATAAGCAGTCACCATGGCTCCCACCAAGACCACCGGCAACGATGTGTACTCGGTCATCCTGCCGACCTTCAATGAACGCCAGAACCTCCCCATCATCACCTGGCTGCTCAACCGCACCTTTAGCGAGCAGTATGTCACTACCAGTCCAGTCTATTGCCTTACCTCATCCCAATTGGGTAATTTCCTTGATTACCAGTTACTAACTTGCTCTCAAAACCAGAAACATCGACTGGGAACTCGTAATTGTCGACGACGGCTCCCCCGACGGCACCCAAGATGTCGCCGCCCAGCTCGTCAAGCTCTACGCTCCCCATGTGCAACTGCAGACCCGCACAGGCAAGCTCGGCCTCGGTACCGCCTACGTCCACGGCCTCCAGTTCGCCAAGGGCAACTACATCATTATCATGGACGCCGACTTCAGCCACCACCCCAAGTTCATTCCCCAGATGATCGCCAAGCAGAAGGCCGGCAACTACGACATTGTCACGGGCACCCGCTATGCCGGCGACGGTGGTGTTTACGGCTGGGACCTCAAGCGCAAGCTTACCTCCAAGGGCGCCAACATTTTTGCCGACACCGTGCTGCGCCCTGGCGTGAGCGACTTGACCGGTTCATTCCGGTTGTACAAGAGGGACGTGCTGGAGAAGCTGTTCCAGAGCACGGAAATCCGTGGTTTCACCATGCAGATGGCTCTGGCTGTTACGGCCAAGTCCCAAGGCTTCTCGATCGCTGAGGTGCCCATCTCCTTCGTCGACAGAGTGTATGGCGACAGCAAGCTCGGCGGCGAGGAGATTGTGGAATATGCCAAGGGCGTTCTGCAGCTTTGGTGGTCCACGTAAACCGGACCAGGAATACCACAAGAAGAACATGAGGGGAACGGTCTTTCTTTCGAAATATATAAAAGCTAATGGCTGGGCTGGGCCGATGTACAAGTAAGGCTGGGATCTGGATTGCATGGCGTTTTTGTTCTCGTTCCGCGTACATATCTTTCTGGAGGGCTTCGCTAATTGACTGATGATTACGTTGAGTTTTTGGGCATGAATCATTCTGGATATCTTGCGCTCTACGCTACAACAACCCACAGCCTCAACTCGCTTAGCAATTCCTGCCGCCCGTCACACTGATAGTCTGTCCAGAAATGTACGAGCTCAGGGGCGAGGCAATGGCCAAGACAGCACTGGCAGCCTCAGTTGCTGAACCGGGCCTCCTGAGGGGGATATCTGCAAAGGGGACCGGTCCTCCAGCCTTCTGGGCATTCTGCTTCTGAGGAATACCCAAAGCAACCTTTTGACCATCAACCTCCACAAACGCACCAGCCTCCTTGTTGGCCGTCAACCGAGTCTCGATATGTCCAAAGGCAATGGTGTTCGCCCTGACACCGAAAGCCGGACCCCACTCCTTGGCTATCGTTTTGCTAAGGCCAACCACACCGGCCTTGGCCATGGCGTAGTTGAGCTGGCCAGCGTTGCCGTGCAGGCCCGAGGTGGAAGAGATGTTGATGATGTTGCGTGGCTCGCCGTCCTTGACGCGGAAGAAGGGAGCTGCTTCACGGGTGAGCTTGAAGGGGGCAGTACCGTGGAGGGCGATGATGGTCTCCCACTGCTTATCGGTCATCTGTTTCTGTGTTAGCATCAACAGCACCTTTTTCCCGATCAGAGATATTGTACCACCTTGTGAATGACGGCATCCCATGTGAAACCAGCATTGTTCACGATTATGTGAATCTTGCCATTGCCAAACTCCGCAGCCTTCTTCACCAGCTCCTTGATGTAGTCATCCTTGAGAAGGTCACCGGGAACAGAGATGGCCTTGCCTCCGCTGGCATTGATCCTATCCACAGTAGCTTGGGCTTTGGTGGCGTCGATGTCAGAAACAACAACCTTGGCTCCTTCGTTAGCGAAGAGTCTGGCACACTCGGCGCCGATGCCCTGGGCGACACCGGTGATGATGACTACTTGGCCGGCGAGAAGGCCTTGGGGGTAGTTGAGGTGGCTGGCGAATTGCTTTATCCTGTCCGCCATGGTGAAGTGATGGTCGAGTATCCTATACTTGCTCGGCGGGTTTGTGCCAGTGACAGAAACGCGTGAAACTGAAGCTTTGGTGAGAGGACCACAGGATCACCATTACTATGTGTACTACTTCAACATCTTCCAGGAAGGACAGAACCCAGCCGAGGTACATCTCCAGTCGACCATCCCAATCGGCTTCTTCTTATCCCCTACTTACCTAATACCCCGCATATTGAACTGAAGGTTGCAAATGTCATCTCATCGACGCTTAACCCTTCCCGTCTTGTTGTTCGTTTTTAGATGGAAGAGGAAGGGACTGAGCATTGGTTTCAAATATTCTTGTCCAAATGTCTGCGGACTCAAGATACAATAGCGTTCAGATTCAAAACGAATTACCATCATCCACCAGATACTTCCCATGTCTGAAGACGACAATACAATAGACAAATCAAACATGACCGGATCACGGCAGTTGTTGCCGTGGAAATGGTTCCCCAGAGGCCATCAGGGTGTCAAGGCACGACCCGGCACGCAACAGAGCACCCCTGCCACAGCGTGGGGAAGCCGCTGTGCTGCCCCGCAACCCATTGCGGGACATGCCTTCCAGCAGCGACTCCATCTGATTCCCTTGTGACAGTGACACAAGCGGAATTCGCGATAAACAATACTGGATTTAGCTCTCGACATCCAAAACCAACAAAACACCACAAGAAACATCGACAGAGATGCAGAGAAATAAGGCCGGAAGAACGTCCTCGGGGCATCAGTTCTCACGACTCAAGCCCGCAGAGATTGATCCTTTGGCCGAATACGGCCTCCCCTCAAAGGGAGAGAAGAGGTGATGATACTCTACCCCATCTCTCGCTCCAAGTAGCTCACCTTGCTCTTACAATGAATGCTGACATCATCAACCCCAAACCAAACAGACTTCTCAACCACAAGACCCAAGAAGCCTACTACTCCAAAATTGCCGAGCGTTATCTCGCCTTCTGCACCGACGCCGGCGACCGCGACTCTCTCCAAAAGCAGTTCTCCCGTCTAGCCCTCGGCGAGACCACCAGCACTAACACGTCAACACCGCTTCTCCCAGCCGGCTCAACATCAGCACCGCCATCATCCTCCTCCTCCCACTCCCACGAATCTTCCACACCCCAACTTCCCCCACCCTCTGACCTCTCCCAAATTCTCTCCGCCCTCCGCAAGCTCCGTGAAGCCCTCGTCGCCTCCTCACGCCTCGACGACTTCACCACACAAGTCTACCTTTTCGCCGTGCGCCTAGGCATTCTCTCTTCCTCCTTCGAGACCTACCTCCCTTCTCTTCTCTACCTCCTGCGCGTCATTCACCGCTCTCCCACGCACCCCTTGACGTCCGTCGAATATCACGAGGTTGTGTCCTATCTTGTACTGGACACAGCCTGTCGCCGGGGGGACCTGGCCGAGGCATATGCGCTGAGGAATCGGTATAAATTGAGAGACCCCAAAGTGGATGCTACGCTGAAAGCGCTGGTGACGGATGATTGGGTGAGTTGGAGACGGACCAAGAGAGCTGTGGATGGGTACAGAGTCAAGTTGATGGAGTTTGCGGAGCCGGGGATGAGAGGACATGTTCTGAAGGCGTTTGGGAGGGCGTATTTGAGTGTGGGGGTGGAGTATTTGGAGGAGACGATGGGGATGAAGTGGGAGGACATGGTGGAGCGGTTTGGGGTCGGGTGGGAGTTGAACAATGGACGGGTGGTGATTAGGAAGATTGGGGGGAAGACGCAGTGAGGTGGGAGGTAGTTTGGGTGGTAGTGGTGGTTGAAGTAATGGGAGGGTTGTGGCCAGGACACAAACGGGTGTGAAGCCGTGGGTGGTGAAAGCCCGAGGATGGGATAAGAAGTGGATCACGGCTCGGGAGAGGTTGCGAGTTGGCGAGCGTGCTTTCTTTATGGTGCGCTACATTTACTTGATACCCCTTTTTATTTGCTATCACGTCTGAGGCTTCGTACAAGTCGAGGTGCAGGGCTGTTGGTTGTGCGACTGCACTGAGCTCCTGGTGTATTCTTGTTGCCAGTTACCATTGGTTTCTTCATATCAGTTGCCGTCCTACGATCCTACGAGGACAAGCAGCTGATTTAACCGACAGCACACGTGGGGAGGGGGTTGACTTCAAGCTTGCTCGCTCGATGAGTGAGTGGTCACACAAGCATTGTATAGCGGTACTTGATCGAAGTTGCCGTGGTATTAACATTTCATTATATCGTATCTTTTGCTTCATGCATATCCAAGTCCCGTCACTTCACCATGACCATTACATTATACAGTATTTCCAAAACCATATTCACCCCTTAAAGAAGGGCAACGGCAGCCATGAGACCACCAATGGCACCAAGACCGGCAGCGGCAGTCTGTCTGGGGCCGGGGTTACTGGTGTGAGTGCTGGTAGCCGCGCTGCTGGCAGCGCTCTCAATGCTGCTAACGGCCGAGGACACGGCGGCGCTGTTGGAACCAGTGACAGTAGTGGCAGCAGCGGTACCGGTACCAGTGGTGACTACGGCGGTAGCGGAAGCGCTGCCACCGGTGGTGGCGGTGGCAGCGACGGTCGCGCAGGTGGCCTTGGTAGGGAAGTTTGTGGCACCGTTGTTCTTGCAGAACTATTTCAAGGTGATGTTAGAAGCCTGATCTGACCTGCTTCGCGATGATCTGTATATGGAGGACGTCAAAAACTTACAGTGGAAGCAAAACCGGCGGCAGCATCAATATCGCTGGCCGAGCACTTCTCCAGAAGGCAGCATTGGATGTCCTTGATGAAGGTCTCGTCCGTGCAGATGCACTTGGGGTCGCGACCGCAGTTACCGATGCCGTTGGTGAGGTAAGGGGTGGCACATTCGGTCTGTTTGTTTATGGGTTGTTAATAATGTTCATTCCGTTATTCAAGGGGCCAAGATCAAAAGACTGGAGGCGAAGAAGGTGGAAATTGGTAAACTTACAGCGCAAGGTGGGAGGTTACCAAGGTCCTGGGCAGCAGCGAAGCTGGCGAAAGCGAGGGAGAAAAGGGCAGCGGTGACCTTCATGTTTGCGGTGTTTGTGATGGTGATGGTGTTTTGGTGGTTGGATTGGACGTTATTATGAAAAGAGGAAACGGAGCAGGATGAATCACAAGAAGAGAGACAAGAAAGAAGAAGAAGCAGAATGTACAACACGATCGGGAATGGACATCCTCGTCATATATGTCACTCTCTCTCCTCCAATTGGCGATGTCCATTGAAGAGGCGCCAATCAACGCCCCTAGAGTGGTAGCGATGGCCGCGAACCCCTGGCAGCTCGCCTGGCCACTCGATCCAAGCCAGGATGGAGGAGGTACCTGACCAAAGTGGTAGCACTAGTGGAAGCCAATGAGAAGCTTGAATTGAGCTAAGCAACGTGGTGAGAGATCAGGCAGCCGTTGTGTTGGAACTCGCTCGTTTCCTTTTCGAAAAGGTGAAATGTGCTTAATGTGTATTTACCCGCCCCTTAAACTTTGTACACTATACTAGAGCGGAGGACGTGAGCCGTGTTACCTGGAAACCTTAACTGTGTATTTCCGATAATGTTGTGATGGAAAACAGGAAAGCAAAGGAAAGCGAACCCACAATGACCACTGGGACTGCTGATCGGGCCCGGAGTTACTCCCTCGAACGTCTCACCTCGTAGGGATCTTACTCTTTGATAGGAGACCAGCTGGCATCCGATCTTCGGTATCTGAGCTTGGCTGTGTCTACTTAGCCGCAGTTTCCTCGAAGCCAAAAGGATTGTCTTTACGCATAAACCTCGGCGCAGTTTGTTCCCCGTTCTTTTCAAACCTCGAGAATCGCAACTATCCGCAAAGGACTTCCAAAACTATCTGTTGAAAAGCTTACAAGCAACCATCAACATCACCACTACACTACTACAGTAGAAACCCCTGCTTTTGCTAATAATCCCGGCAGCCAGATTTTTTAGCAAAAGGGGGGGTTTTGCAAAAGAGGGTGCTCACGCACAGACCAGACATGAGCCTCTTGGCCATTAGAAGCCCACTGATGGACCAAAAAAGTGGGCCAAACGTGGGTCACTTAAGCCAGTTGCCCCCCCGATACAAGAGTATAAGTGCTCTCTCCCACCAAAATCTAACCCCTGCTTTTGCTAATCCGGGCCACCAGCGTTGCAATTAGCAGTTTGCAGTCCTAGCCACCAGAGGGAATGCGGGCAGTGGAAATCCTTAGCAAAAGGGGGGGTTAGCAAAAGCAGGGGTTTCTACTGTACCAGGGTGCCCACGTGCCGGGTTATGCCCTGTTCACCATCGGGGAAGATGATGGACACCAACTCCGCTGCACACAGCACCAATAGAACGGTGGCGAGAGCCCACAACAGACCAAAGTCAAGCTTTCAGGGGCTGGTTCCGGGGTCGGTGCAGTCCCCAGATTCTTTGTCGCGGGTTGCTGATCATCCGAGGCTGAATCAAATATGTTGAGAAACCGCAGTCGGTCAAGATGGCGGTGGGTTCACTTGGCTGTCAAGCACATTATGGGTATTGACAGAGCGAACACATAGCTGCCTTAATGGGAGAAGAGCGGTATCTCGAAAAGTAAAACCAAAATCATGGTGTTGGGAACCATCACCAGATCCGGCACTCTCATGAGATTTTGGTGGCTGACATCGGCGATACTTTTCCCGCCAAGACACACAGACACTCGGTGATATTGGCCAGTAAGCTCCGAACCAGGCGTGTGAAAAGCCCTGGAAAAGGTAACCTTGGGTTTCAGCAGCGAGCTGGAAGGCCAGTCAGAGACAGTTCTCGTCTCCTCGAAATTTCCACTGCCTCTTGACTGCGCCCAACTCGTTGGTTACCATCCACTTGTCAAAGCCAAATCAACACTTGCTTACGTGCAAGTAGACGAGGCATCTGTCGACGTTCATTATCGCATTTGCTTATCTCATTGTGATTTTTTTGCGGGTTTCATTGCTTCAGTTCAACTACCTTGACGGCACGAGCCGCGACCAAAAGAATCAGTCGGTCTTGATCGCGATGCCACTTACACCTTGAAAGCTTCTTGAGCTCTTTATCCAATTTGTTACACACACTGAATCCTACCCGTAGAGGTACCCAGGCGTGTCAGATACCGAGGCACAAGATGGGATTGGGAATTCTCGAGGACCGAGTCCTTGAACATGTCCCTGGTGTGTGAAGATGTTCATAGTTCTCGAGCCTTCAGCAACTCGGACGACCTGTGTACTAACTAGCCAATCTATCAGGGACAACACAGTATTTCGATGACCCAGAGAGACCACAATATGCCACCGACGGCGCCCATGAACATCTCAAGTGCGACCGAAGCGGCCCAGTGCCCATCGTCCTGGTCCCTCAACCAACAGATGATCCAAATGATCCTTTGAACTGGCCGCTCTGGCGCCGCGACCTCATCACCCTCGTCCTCTCCATCACTTCGGTCTTCGCCACCGCCTTAGGCCCTATCCTCGCTGCCGACACTGTACTCCTTGTCAGCACCCTGAAAGATGTCACCTTTGTCAAGGCTTCCCTCCTCACTGGTTATTTCCTCCTTGGTTGCGGCGCGAGTGCCTTTCTATTTGTCCCGTCCAGTCGTATATGGGGCAAAAGACATTTATTTGTCCTAGGCACGATTCTATTGATTGTCACCAGCATTTGGACAGCTGCTTCGGGCAATAAAAGCTACACGAACTTTCTATGGTCGAGGATCTTCCAGGGCGTTGCGGCCGCCCCCTTCGAATCCCTCGTCAACGCGGCCGTTGGCGACCTGTACTTTGTCCATGAGCGTGGCAAGCGCATGGCCTTCACCAACCTGGCGGTCTTTGGCGGTGCCTTCTTCACCCCCATTCTAGTCGGCAAGATCAGCAACGACATGGGCTGGCAATGGACCTTTTGGTTCGTCGCCATCTTCTCTGGCGTGTGTCTCCCGGCTGTCTACTTGTTCTGTCCCGAGACCGCCTACCGTCGTGACCCGACACCGCGCTTCTCGGCAACGAAGAAAGACGATGATGCCCCCAAAGATCGTGGGCTTGACCAGGAGCAGGAGCAGGAACTCAAACAACACCCAGCTCCCTCCCACCAAACCTCCACCGACAGCACCACCGCCCCCAAGGACGAAGAACACATCCATACAGCAACGGAAGCCCCTGCCTCCTCAACTGGCGCTCCCAACACCACCACCCCACCAAAATCCACATTCGTCCAATCCCTCGCCCTCTTCAACGGCCGCAAATCCTCCGACTCCTTCTGGAAACTCACCCTCCGGCCCCTCCCTCTCCTCCTGCACCCGGCCTTCCTCTGGGCTTGCCTGATTCAAGGCCTTCTCATCGGCTGGACCGTCTTCATCGGCGTGCTCATGGCCTTCTTCTTCATCTCCGTTCCCTTGTGGTGGGACGAAGTACAAACGGGGTACGCCTACACCGGTGCCTTTGTCGGGGCATTGATCGGCTTCGCTATCGCTGGTGGACTATCTGATTGGTCGGCGCGGTTGATGACCAAGTGGAACGGGGGTGTCTATGAGCCGGAATTTAGGCTGGTTTTGGTGATTCCGCAGATGGTGCTGGGCTGTGCGGGGCTGTATGGGTTTGGGATTACGTTGGATGGGATGTTGTACGGCAAGTATCATTATGCGGTGCCGTTGACTTTCTTTGGGCTGGAGGTCGCGGGGATGGTGATTGGTGCGGTGGCGGGGAGTCTTTATATTGTCGATGCTTATCGTGAGTATCTCTTCTTCTTCTTGTGCTGCTGGAGTGGTGGTTGTTTGGTGGCGAGACTTCTTTGGCTGGTGTACTGATTGCTGACTGACTTGACTTTCAAAAAACAGGTGACATCGTGATTGAAGGCTTTACGGCTATGATCATCTTCAAGAACTTCTTCAGCTTCGCGTTGACGTTCAAAGCGTGGCCTTGGCTCATCCAGAGCAGTGTTAAAGCTGCGAAGATCTTCAATGCCTTGGGAAGTGTGCAGCTGGTTGTTTGCTTGCTTACGATTCCGCTTTGTAAGTTGATCGAACAACTTGGGAATGTGAATGGACCACTCACTGATTTTTTGCTGCTCAGATATCTACGGAAAGCGTTTGCGCAGCTTCTCTTATCGCCACGATATTCTGGAGCTTTGCCATTTGCGATAGCCGGCTGGCGGCACCATTATAGTATACGATTTAATTTTTAATATGATACCCTCGTTTTTTGTGTTGTACGCTGTGATGGAAGAGAAGATGTGGAGAAGTGTTCACGAAGGATTTTCGGGGTATGAGACACTCGCAGGAATCAAATACACAATCACTCCATCCCTTACGGCCATCAACATTATTTAAGAATCTTTATTTGATTTCGTCCCAAGCGAGTAGCTGCTGTTCACTCCCTGAACTCCCCCCTTTTGCTCGCTATTTTCTCATAACATATCATGTCATCATATCAGCATCAACGTCGACAACTACCCCAACCGTCCCCTCCGATTTAAGCCTTCTGAGTAGACGAAGTATCCGAAAAGCTAGTCTTGCCAGCCGGAACCTGGAAAACTTCACTGGGATCCTGCTTTCTCCTCTTAGTCAACCTCAGTCCACCTACGCCCAAGATCAGAGCCTGCAGACCAAGCACCACACCCAGGGTAACCATAGCACCAATAACACCAGCAACAGCATTGCTCATTCCACTGCCACTCTTAGCAGCAGCAGCAACACCAGCGGACTCCGCAGGGTAGTAATCAGCACACTCTCCCGTCTTCTCTCCACAAGCATCGCACCATTCCTTGCTGCCTCCCTCGAGCGCAATCTTGTTCATCTCGCTCACAAAAGTCGTCCACGGCAACTCCGTCTTGTCCTGGCCGAACAAGGGGTATACCTTGGCGGGGTTGCTGTCCGAGGCAGTACCGTTGGCGAACAAGAAACGGACAGAGACCTCGTTCTCCGAAGGAGAAGAGGAAGAAGAAGTAGTAAAAAGCTCAAAAGTCATGGAGCTGGCATAGTCGACAATGGCGGTGAAGTCCGGCGACACGGAAGGAAGCTGAGAGAGGCCGAAGAAGGAGCCGAAAGTGCCGTAGGGGCCGAATTGGATGTTAAGCTTTTGAGAAGAAGAAGAAGAGATGGAGGAGTTGAGGGTGGAGACAATGTGCGACGCCAAGACGGAGCCGGCGACGGCGCGGATGGGCGACGAGGCATTGTAGCCGAGACCGAACTCGTGGATGTTGGCGAGGTCGGAGAGGGTTTGGAGGTTAGAAGGGGTGAGAAGGTTGGAGGAAGGGATGGAGGCGTTGTGGATGGTGGAGACGTGGATGTAGTCGAAGACTGTTGACGGTTAGCTTCAGGCGAACAGGCTGAGGGGAGGAGTAAAATGAGTACGTACTGCTATAAGCGTTCTTGAAGGTGGCACTCTCGCTGGGGAAGGTTGACTCATAAACAGGCAACAAGCTCTGGTAGAACTCCTTGGTGCTCCCCAGAAGCTCGAGGTACTCCTTGCTCTGGAAATACGCCTGGCTGCTGTTCACGGCAGCTGGACACCCGCTGTTTCCCTGCAGCCAGGCACTAGACTCGGCCTGGTTGCTGCCGCGGCTCGTCACTGTCGCAGAGTTGACGGGAATGTACTGGTATCCGCTCAGAGGAGCTTCGATCGTGGTGCCATTGGCGAGCTTCTGAGAGTTGACAGAGCCAGCAGGAGGGTACAAGCCCTGGAGGAAAAAGCCAGCGCTACCCTGGAGAACATTGTCGGCGGGCGCAGTGACGGCGAGCTCAGTGAGATCGGCGAGGTCGGACGAGATGCCGTTGATGCGGGTGGAGGACTTCTCGTCGATGTAGCGGGAGCGATACCAAGAGCCGGAGAGGTAGACTTGCTCAGCACCGAGAGCAGTAAGCTTCGTTGGAGAGTAGGCCTTGGTGGTGCGGTCACCGTGGCGGCTGAAGATGTAGGCACCGAGGATGGTCTCGGCAGCCGTAGCCGCGGGGATGGAGGCGAGAAGAAGAGCCTTGGTGTGCATGGTGACTGACGGGTGGTATTGTCCCGAACTTCCGAGATGTGATGACCTATGCGATGGATGAAACCCCCAGTGAAAGGCTTGGACAAGAAAAGGAGAGGAACAGTTTCTTGAAGCCAAGGGCAGAGAAGTTTTATTTAAGCTGTCCTAGAGACTTCAACCCACGATAAGAAAGAGATATTATCATGTTCTTGCCCCTCATGTTCAACCAATGATCGACACAGTGGGGGATGGAAACACAGCATGGTAAGCATGGCCAACCCCACTTGGAAAGCTTCCATGTTTTGGGCATCGAACACGGATTTGGCTTCTTTCTTTTGTCAAGTGCCAGTGGACTAGGAAAAGAAAGAGTGGACAGCAGGTGCCACTGAGGAGGAGTCTGGAGATGCAGGTGCTGACAGGGGGTGGCCAACGATGGAGGACTTCCTCGGGGCATGCTATGTTTCTCCGCTGGAGCTATCAAGGTGTTGATACGACCTTGGAAGCTGGCTAGCTCGGGATATGTGTAGTGGTGTAAACAGCGATGAATCATCACTTTGAGGGTAGCAAAATACACTACACTACATTTATACAATAATAAAGTACCGCGGAGAAACGATTCGTCTGTTATCTACACCAGACATAAGCAGATCTGAAAGTAAACAAAAGACACTCGACAACATCCACATCATATCTGAACCGCAAACGTAGAATCCCAGTAGATAAGCCCTATAAATCTTGTCAACGGCCCTGACTAACAGGTACTTTTGGTAGTGGGGTATGTGATCGCGCTCGCCCGTTAAGATTTTTAATGGCAGGGTACCTACCGCCCCTCCCGGCCACCCCCGGCCACCCCCGGCCGAACTGCCGGCAGCGATAAGAGACGGTGGATCATGAACTTGGCTCGGCCCGGAGACACCTGGGACTCACACCTCACAAACTCGACCGATGCCCGTCATTGTAGATGCCCGTGGTTTGTCTGCAAATCTTCTTCGAGGATCTTTGTTTGATTTGCCTGATATAACAGCGAACTCGTCACCAGTAGCAGAGAGATATGCAATCATTTAGCACGCCTGCTCCGACCCGAACGCCTTGCAATCATGCTGCCGTGGCATGGCCCGATAGTATCACAAACGCTCCGGTGTGACAAACTGATAACATTTTTGGAATCCCATGTTTTAAAGCTTAGACTTTTGCTTTCTCCCGTCTTTCAGGTTTTTGCTGATCTGGCCAGTGAGCAGGAAGTCGGGATACTCCATGCCTTCGTCAATGCCAATGTCGTTTCCTCCCTGTCGCCTCCATCCAGCGCCATCAACGACGAGAGTGGTACCATTGACATAGTTACCAGCATCACTGAATAGATAGACAGTAGCGTCAGCGATATCACGGCGGCTTCCCCATCTGCCGCTGGGAACAGCCTTGGTCATCTTCTGCTTGTCGACAGCGCTGCTGGCCAGGCGCTCCATACCCTCCGTACCTTCAATGGCACCGGGAGCAATCACGTTGGCAGTAACACCGTAAGGGCCGTATTCAAGAGAGACGCTGGCCATGAGGGAATCCACGGCGGCCTTGGCAGCGGACACATGGGCCTGCAGGGGCATGCCTGTGTAGTGGAAGGTAGCGGAAACCGAGATGATACGACCGCCAGTGAGGCCATTCGGGTTGGGGTTGGGGTTCCTGGCAGCCGACTCGATGAGGTAAGGGATAGTGGCCTTGACGGTGTTAAAAGTACCAATGGTGTCGATGTCGATGACAGTCTTGAAGGCGTTGGGGCTCAAACCCGAAATAGGAGCAATGAAGTTTCCAGCGGCACCAGCGATGACAAAGTCGATGGCTCCCAGCTCCTTGACGCACCTCTCAGCGGCCGCCTTGAGGTTGTCAAACTGTGAACTCGGTCAGCGAGACTTTTCCAACTGCGGTTCATCCAAGCAACAACACTCACGTTCCTGACATCGACATTGCCAATGCCAATGACACGAGCTCCAGAGCGGACCTTGGCGATGTCTTTGGCAGCTTTCTCAGTCTTCTCTGGGTTGCGACCAATGATGCATGCGTCAGCTCCCAGATGGACCATGGCGCGAGTTTGCGCACTGCAGATGGTGCCGGCACCACCGGTGACGAAGACAACCCGGTTGGCTGTGATGATGATTGTTAGCGACACTGTGATCTCTGCACAAATTCACCCGAGACTTACCAAAGATGCCGGGTGCCCATACAGAGCTGAGATATTCTGACTTTGGGACACTCATTTTGGGTGATATTGACCGCCGATGGAAGATATAATAATCACTAACAAATAATGGTTGTTGATGTTGCTGATGGAAGCAGTCAAGCAGGATAGAGGTAGAAGACAGAAACAGATGGGGTATATAAGACAACTAAATTATCGAGATGAGACTCCAAAGAGGACCTTCAACACCACGTACACCGTTTCATTCGTTCCTTTGGCGAGTTGCGAACTAGTGCATGGGGTCTACGGGTGTTAGAGAAGGGATCTCCATCTTTCCTTGCCCCGTCCGTGGTGGTGGACTCGATGTGGTGGTCACTCGGCACCTCAGTGTCAGTTGGTGCCGGCGCTGTTACTTCCTTGTGAACTGAAGCTTCGGCGCTCGCTCAGGACTCGTTCAGGGCATCTTCAGTTGCCGGCGGTACCTCCCTTCACAGTACGCGGTTTACCTCGGCTAAGACCCACCTTTTTTTCCCTAGGTTTCTCCAGACGGGACTGGCCCAGCCTTGCAGTCCCACACACGCCCCGCAGCACTGTTTGTTTAGTGACCACACTGTGCGCCACCCAGCGTAGTTCGGATGGTCTGCCGTTAGCGGATCGCATTTTGCGCCGGGTTGCATCAACGCCTTCTTTTTTTGTCCAGCCTCGTCTTCTTTGATTCACGATATCTTCAACCTAACAGCCGCCCTTCGTCTCTACAGGGACAATTGTACGGACCTGCACGTCCGAATTTTCGACGCGACTATAAACAAACTTTGAAAACAAGCAACAACCGATCTCTCACTTCTCCCTCGAACAACAATCAATCCATCACCACCACCCTGTTGGTCATCCCACTTTCTCGTTTTCTCTGCGCATCCGAACCGCATCTACATACTAGGTTTGCGATTCATCACTGCGCACCACCTCACTCTCACATTTCTTTGCACACACCAATCTCTCAGACGTAGCACATCACCATTTGCCCGCCATGGACACGGCAACTGACGTACCAAAGAAAAGGAGAGCGCTGCCCTTCAAGCGCACCGTTGCACGCACACCAGCCAACGAGCCACCCCCAAGCCATACGCCAGAGCACAATTCTGACCAGGATGACCCTCTCGCCCTCTTTCGGCGATCAAAGGACGTTTTCCCCATGGTCCTGGAGGACCTGCAGCGGGCATCATCAGAGGAAAAGGTGAAGCCTTCCGAGTCGCCAAAGGAAGGGCATGTCAACAAGAAAAGGAGGGTGTCGTCCAATGCCGAAGGTGACAATGAAGCACCTCTCGGCGCCAGCTCTTCGAGCGTATCAGCACTGAGCAGGACGTCTGCATCGCGCATTGACTCCGACGATGACGACCTGATCATGGACGTCAAGGGCAAAGGGAAAGAGATCGTACGACCCGACAAAGCCCGGGTACCGACTCCCCGAAAGCCTCTTTCAACCACACCAAGAAAGTCGGGAACACCATCCAAGAAACGCTTCGCCTTTAGCGACGACGAAGACGACCATGGGAAGGACGACCTGTACTCCCCACACTCAAAGCGCCGCAACCCCGACCGCTTCTCTCCAAAACCTACCGCACTCGGCCGCAGCACCCGGGCCACTCAGCGCGGCAGCTCGCCGCTGGAAGGTTTTGAGACCTCCTTCAACCTCCCCGGCGCATCCTCCACCTCCAAAAGGAAACCTTTTCAATCCGCTGCCCTCGACTCCGACAACGACTCGGACCTCGAAGTCTCCGAAGTTCGCACCAAGAAGCGCTCCGCTTCTTTCTCGTCCTCTCCACCACCAGCACCATCCGCAACCGACCCAGATCACGAAGCCACTATCGTCGCCGATAAGGCCGACGACGATGATGATTTCGCCAAATGGGTCACCAAAGCCGCCGCGCTAGAAGCCGACCACGCCAATTGGACTATTGACGTGCTTGTCACTTCCCGAATGCCACACACCAAGCCGCTTACTGCGCGGCGACGGATGAAGCAAGGTCTCAAGCTGATTTTAGACACGTGGATCCGACAGCAGGAGCTCCACGGTTGCGAAATCCCCGAGGACATGGTGGGCAAGCTGTTCTTGACGTTTAAAGGGAACCGAATTTACGGCAACAGCACCATTGCTTCGCTGGGAGTCAAGGTGGATGCCAATGGCGTGCTGCAGCTGCCTCCTGGTGCCATGACGAGCCGAGAGGCCATGGAGGGGTATGTCATCCAGGGGGGGAAAATTGGACTGGTGCTGGAGATTTGGCACGAGGAGTTTTACGAGGAAGAGCTTGCGAAGAAGAAAAAGCAGAGGGAGAGGGAGTTGGGGCTACTTGACGATGACGACGATGAGGACCAGCAAAGCGGAACCGGTGCGTCTGGTGCCAATGGATGGTCCAGAGGTGGCAGTGAGGCTGCTGAGGTCAAGAAGACCAAGATCAAAGTGGTGCTCAAGGCCAAAGACCTCCAACCGCTCAAGATCGCCGTCTATGAGGATACGCCGGTCGGTACCATGGTGCAGGTTTTCCGGAAGCAGAGAGATATCAAGCCGGAGCAGACTGTTGTGATACAGTTTGATGGCGAGGAGCTGAACGAGAACATGCTGGTTGGGGCGATGGACATTGAGAGGGACGAGACCAACCAGTTTGAGGTCTACATCAAGTAGTGTATGACCTGGAGAATAAACATGGAGACTGGGTTTTTGGGAGGCTTTATTCGCACATTTCTTTTGCTGTTATGGGGTTGGATGATTGGAGTTTACCGGGCTTATTCGCCAGGCCTACGAAAATCGGCGGTGACTAGTGGATTATTGCTTTTGCTTAAAGTTGTGACAGATGATTACGGAGTTTGGAGTGTTGCAAGTCCTTCCAGGACATGCATGGTTCATGGTGCGAAGGTGGTACCCTAGCTCTTCAGCAGATACCCATACGTATATCACTTTTTGCTACGTCTTGCCTTCACTTTATTTCAACAAGCTTGATGACTCATGGGAGTTGGTCAGTCAGAGCACAAAAAGAGCCTCTTCGGGTTAAGATGGTCTCATCCCACCTATCGTAGGTGAATATCGAGGGGTTTGACTATTCTCTATCTGCTATTTCGATATACGGTTCGCCATCTGGACTGTAAAAGAAACAAGACCACTTACTGATGCGGAACAAGCGAGATAAGAGATTGAATGAAAGTACGCTGATTACTTCTTGTATGACTCGAAGAAACCAATCTATCGTGGCTCACCTGGCTACATTGGTGCCCATCATATTAACCCCTTACATTTTGCTTGATTTGCCGTCACCATGGATGGAATCTCAACCAAATCAGCGCACGAGATCAGTTTCTCAAATCACTTTCTCTGCACCATAATCGACCTTGCCAGCCAATATGCACTAAACCGCCTTTTGGTGAATATTTCTCTTCATTGTCTTCTCTTCTCGTCCTCCGGGTATAGATCATAACCACACATTGATAAAATTCGCAAGGCGGTAGCTCCCCAATATCCCGTCCTCTTCCTCCCGCTTCTACACACCTTCGTAGATATCCCCAGCATGACTGACTGAATCGCCCATTTCAAATTCTCCAAACTCAAAGCAAAAGCATAATGGACTCCTAAACGCCAGAACCCTTTTTAAGCGTAGCTCCCGAAATGCCACCTTCGCCCCTTATGTGATGAAAACCGTCGATTTTTTGTTGACTGAACCATGCAGCCCCGTGCGTGAACCATTCATTAGGTGAGAATAGCGGCAATAGAAGTGTAACACATTATTGCCGTTTTTCGTGAAAGAAAGAGCTTAGAATCTCTCCTTTTGCCTCGAGGCAATGATCCGAAGGTTGTTGTACACCTTGCCGGGCTGGTGTCCGAGAATGAGGGAGACGACGGACTCGCGGGCCATGCCAATGTTCTCGAAGGCACCGAGGATATGAACGCGGGAGCCGGCGAGGACGATTCTGGTTTTTGTGGCTGTTTACATCTTGTCAGTACTTCCGCGTTATCTCTTCAATTCTCCCATAATGGTGAACATACCGTTCTCGATTGCAAACTTGGTCTTTCCATCCTTGCCTGCAATACGACCAATCGCACGTCCCAGAGCATCGGGGCCGAGGGTCTGACGGACATCCTTGACATCGAAGGACTGGATATAGAGCGAATCGAGACGGAGCAGGGCAATGGCGTCGTCAATGTCGAAGCCCATGGCGAAGGCGGAGACGAAATCGGCACCCATCTGCAGGGATTCGGGGGTGGTGGTGTGTCTACTGGAGCGGAGCTCGACGCGCTTCTCCTTGATGTTCATGCGGACCTGGAGCTTGCAGTGCTCAACAAGTGGGGGGTAGCTGATTGGAAAACAGTCAGTCTTCCTTGCCCAAACATTCACACATGTTTCCGTAGTTTTCCGTCTCACATCTTGGTCCAATTGGCCTTGAGGGCCGACATGCGGTTTGGCGGGATACCAATTTTCCTGGTCTCTGCGCGGCGAATGATCTGGACGTCCTGGCCGGGGGCGAAACGGGGGCGGCCCTCCTCGTCTACAGCCATCTGCACATCTTGGTCACTGGAAGGGGGAGCGGCGGCGCTGGGATCGGTGAGGTTGACGGCCTCGTTGACATCGAGAATGAGCTCGTCCTCTTGCTCGGTCTGGATAGGAATCTGGGCGGTGGGAGCCTCGACAGGCTGACGAAGTGCTGTTGGCGCAGGCATGTTGAACGAGATGTGTTGTTTATCGGTGGGTGATCGTCAAGGGGCCGAGTCGAGTTGTTTGTTGATCAAAGTCGGCGGTAGTATTCTGGGGAATCGCCGGCCAAGAGTAATGGCAGATTTATCGAAGATCGGGTGGAGGTGAGACTGGTGACGGACGACGAAAAGAGGTGTCGGGATGCTGGGTTACAGTCGTGAATTACGGAGATCTGGGAGTCGAAGTCTGCCTTTTTTGCGCCGTCGATCTCCAGAATTTTGATGTTTATCGATTTTGATAGCGCAGAGGGGAAATTCTTGACAAAAAGCAGTGGATCCACAAAAGAGTACACAAGTGAAGCTTATCGATTGGCTGGATGGGGGCTAGGACCCTTGCCAATCGCAACGCCCATGCACTAACAGTTACCGAGGAATCCCTGTAATCCCAAGGTTAGCGTCATTGACGCACTTTTGACGGGACCTGGACCGGCAGCTTTTTCAAACTCCAGGTTCTTGGTCAGAGCAGGAGCACCATCATATGTCATTCTAGACTCGGCCCACCACCAAGCAACAACATCTGATTTTCAGCCTTGAGAACCGACCATGGATACGGCACCTAGCTGTCGTCATCACCATCGTCGCTGAAAACAAAAAGAAAAAAAGAAACAGGCCCCTTCCTCGGTCGACAGTATGAATTTCAGCAATGTCTACTAGCGCTACGACGACCCAGCTGGGCCGCCAGCTATGGTCTTCAGTACGAGATCCTCACACTACCTCGAATCTCTTCACAGCCGCGATACTGCTTCCAAATTGTCAGCCATTACTTTGCCGTCACAGTCTTGGACTTGGCCCCTCGACTTCGCTGGGGACCCATCAGCGATACGGACAGCAGCAGAGCACGCGACAATTTACCTCTTCCGCAAGTCGCTTTTTCTCCTCAGCAACAAAATCGCAAAGACTACACTATCAACAGTCACAACCATCCCATAATGTCCTACGAAGCTGTACCTCCGGAGGTCTACTCCTCCTTGGGCTCACCACCAGCCCCTCTCCAACGAGTACGGTAGAGGCATCCGCGCTATCCGACAATGCCGCGCAAAAGGCAAAAATGAGCCACCTGGCACGGCAGGCTTTACTCTTGCGAAGGATACGACAGAATACCACGACCACAACGTTATGCATGGCAGGAAAGCGATATCAAAGTTCGGGCAAAGAGACCAAGGGCCATCATGACGAGACCAAGGCCGAAGCCAAGTCTTCTACAATTCCTCCTCAGCAAAAGTCCGAGCAACCACAGCAACCACCGCATACCGAGACGGCTTCTGGTTCTGGTCCCCAGCCGACTCCCGCACATGAATCAATAGCAGATTCCATGTCTAAATACCTTCACCTTCCTCACCTCCCCCATCTGCCTCACCGGCCCACAAAAGAAGAGCTTCTGGCGGCAGCAAGCGGGTTCTGGTCGCGTCTCAAGGTCCGATTCAAGTGGTTCTCCATCAGGAGCATGCGCCCCTGGAACGCCGACGAATGGGGAGCGTTTGTGTCCTTCTTCTTATTCGGTCATTTGGTCTGGATTCTTGTTGGCACGACTACCTTCTTCTCCCTCATCATCCTCTTCATCAACACGGTGTTTGCCCAGGAAACGCTGGCCAAGTGGATCGGAGACTACCTAACACAATCTGCTGGCCTTACTGTTGTCTTCGAGTCGGCTATTGTGCCCAAATGGGGAGATGGTGTCATCACTTTCCGCAATGTCTTTGTTTCTCGGAGACCTGGTCAGCCCAAGTCTTCCGTCAAGAAGGGTTCTTCCGAAGCTGCGGCCGAAGCAGCTGCTGCTAAACAAGCCGCCGAACAAGAAGGCACTGCCGTGGAAGAGGACGATGGCAACTACACCCAGTTCGACGTCACTATAGACACCGTGAACGTGGCTTTGTCTTTCCTTAAATGGTGGAACGGAAAGGGTCTTCTCAAGGACGTCGAAATAAAGGGTGTCCGAGGTGTTGTTGACAGGACTTCGGTTGTCTGGGGCAATGAGGACCTCAACCCCCTTGACTTCAGACAGGAACATAACCCTGGCGACTTTGAACTGGATCACTTCAAGATGGAAGACTTGCTGGTCACCGTCCACCAACCAGGCGGTTTCCGGCCCTTTTCCGTTTCCATCTTCTCCTGCGAGCTTCCTCAGCTACGAAAACAATGGCTGTTCTATGACTTTTTGTCAGCAAATCACATGTCCGGATCATTCGATGGATCACTATTCACCATTCATCCCAGACAGATCCACGGTGTGTCCGCAGCAGATAACGGCCGTCACCACCAAGACGAGTTCGGTTCTCCCTCGGCCTGGAAGAAGTTCTCCCGACTACGGATTGATGGGCTGAAGATTGACCACCTGAACCGCGGTGTAGAAGGACCGTTTGGCTGGATTTACGAAGGCAATGTCGATATTATTGCCGACATCATGTTCCCTGCGGACCCTGAGGAGGGTCTAAGCAAGGTTGTCGCCGAATTTTACGACAAAATGGAAGAAGCCGTAACCAGCAACCGCTACCTCAAGATTCTAGACGGCAACATTTCTCCCAACAGCCGAAGCAACACCAACAGCCCCACCCTTGAAAGCGGGCCAATTCCGGAGTCTGCCTCTGACATCGACCTCACCGGCCACCACGATGAGCTCCCCACCTCGGAGCAGCACTTCCCCCCCTTGATCCCTCCCGCGACTCCCAAAGAGCCAGCCCCCATCGAAGAAACCCCCTCCTACCTAGTCATGGACCTTCGCATCCACCTCAACGACGTCCGCGCCGCTGTCCCTCTGTTCAACAACCCACACATGAGCTACGTGAACCAAGCCCTAGTGCGGCCCATCGTCGCCTACATCAACGCCAAGCGCACCTACATCCCCATCAGCTGCCGGATCGTAAAACGGCTGACGGACTTTGACGGAGCTTGGACCGTTTGGGACTGTGGGCTCATGGACGACATGAGCGCCGAAGTGTACCGTGCCTTTGCAAGAAACGTAGAGGATCAACAAAGCAGAGTAAGGAGATTCAAGCGTGTGGGACTGTGGACGGTCAGTCTCGTGGTACATGCGTTGCTGGCTGGCGTAGCGGGAGATTTGATGTGAGCAGTCATTGAATATGACACTCACGATTATAGACTATTGCCTGTGTTTCATCAGGCCGCAAGAGGAGAAGTCTTGTTTGTGACGATACGGGGCTGTGTTGTACTATCCTTTTTTTCTCTCTCTCCCTTCTCTACTTTACTGTTGGGGGTTGTCATACCTTTCCAAGCGGTATTTTACTGTACTATACATACATCGAACATACTTATATGGCTCCGAAAAAAAAAAAAAACAGGCGCTCGAAGAAACAGGCAGGCAGGCAGGCAGGCAGGCAGGCAGGTAGATTATGGTTATGGATAGGAGGGAGGGGATCTGAAACTGGTTTACGTTCTTAATGACCCGGGCGGAAAGAATTACTGGCTGGAATCATATGAATGCGGGAGGCGCGGTGTTTTGAGTGTCCAGGTTTTTTATCAGTGATGGTGGTTGCTCAGGGCAGATCAACATCGCGATCGGAGTTTCAAGTGTTTTGATTAGGGTACAGCAACATTGTCTGAAAAGTTCACATGGTGTTCATGGTTGGGAAATATCAGCTAATCACTGGTGTAAGGTTCTGACAAGGTTCTGAGGTGGTGACTGAAATAGAGTGTTGGTTGTGTTTCTAGCCATGGCATCGAGAAGAGAACCTCACACCAGGATAACATGCAAACTAGACTTTTGAAACGTAATGCTCGCCTTCATTATTGAATGCACTCTAAATCTACTTGCCCCCATGCTATATGGTATCAGCTGCCTTTTCCCGTCACCCCCAAGTCGCGACTCGATCAGTGCCCCAAGAGGCCATCCTCCTTTTTTCGTCCAGTCTGGCACTGGTGACGACTCTGGTCCCTCATGCATCCATCCAAGACATCATGCCACTGAACCTTACGTCCGGACGGCGGACGTGCCGTGACCGTTGCGCGGGTGTCATGGTAGTCTACGCTTTCTTTTATACGCCATTAAAACACACGCAACCGCTACTTTTTGCTTCGGTCTGAAAGCTTCCCGGGTAGGGATGAGAATTATACCAGGTGAAGGGGATGATTCTACATCCCTGTAATGGGAAGAGGGACTCGAGGCCTCTCTTCCTCACGAAGCGGACGATCGTGACTTGACGGTAGAAATCTTTCACATGAAGTCATCACTAGAGCCAAACGTTAGCAATCGTTCCCCACGCGTATCTTTTCTTACTCCACCTCAAGCCGACTTACTCTCCGAAAGCATCATCATCATAAGTGTCGTGGGCCTCAGCAATGGCACCACCACGACCAACACCAGCGAGTGAGGTCTTGGTCTTGGCAGCCTTGCTCTTCTTGCCACCCTTTTCGGCAGCCTTCTCCTCCTTGAGCTTCTCGTTGCTGAGAGCAGTCAAGGTGCTAGCAATCTTCTTGATCTCGTCGCTCTTGAGGTCCTTGGCGAGCTGCTTGGAGAACTCCTGGAGGAAGAGAGTGTAGTGCGGCTTGGGCGAGAGCTTGCCGATCATGGGGCCAAGAGTGGTGCGGAGGGTCTCAAACTGGGTCTTGGTGGTAGGGTTGAACAAGGCCAAGGTCGAGATGTCGATGGTGTTGTTGGGGTCCTTGGGGTCGATCTGGACAATGGTGCCCTTGCTGACGACCTTGCGGTCGTTGCTGATGCCGATGCCGGCAAACAGGTCCTCAGCGTGCTTGAGATCGGACTCCTTCTGCTCGCGACGGAGGCGCTCGCGGCGCTCGGCCTCGGTCTCCTCCTCCGCGTCCGAATCCTCGGCCAGCTGGCGGGCGCGCTCGGCCTGACGCTCGGCGATGCGCTGCGCCTTGGACTTCTTGTTGGCGGCGGCTTCGGCCTCAGCCTTGGCCTTGGCCTCGGCGGCCTTCTTCGCCTTCTCGCGCTCTACCTCGGAGTCCTCGGCGGCATCCCACGAGTCGAGAACGTCGCTCTCGTTTCCCTCCTCATCGTCGAAGCGGCGGCGGCCGGGGGCAAGGACGGGCGAGTTGGGGGCGGAAGACTCCTCCTCTTCCTCGTCTGTGGTGATGAGGGGTTAGTTAGTCTGGGTTTCAGACAGGTTGTGGTGGCGCAACAGGAAAGTCGAGGCAAGAGTTGGTTCTGGTTGATTTGTATATATAGGCTGCGTCGCTGAAGTCCAATTCGCCTCAAATATGGAAGCCTCGAGGCATATGGCGATGTTGACAGCGACTATCGCAAGCCGGCGCAGGCATCAGGCAGCCTTGTCACGGCGATCGGGGCCGCCCACTTTCGCCGACATACACTGTTCGCGGGGTTCGTTTTGCGCAAAGAGGGAAAAGGCAAGGAGAGCGAGGAAGACTTACCCCACTTCTTTCCAGACATGTTTGCGATTTGGTAGTGACGATCTAGAAAACCGAACGGGTCTTTGCGACAACGGTGTCTGGCGCGACGAGGAAAAGTTTGCGTGCTGTGGTTGGTTGTGTACAAACTGCAAAAGAGAAGCCGATCGCAGTCTTGAGAAGTTGAAAAAGCGAGCAGGGGTCAGGCACCTTGAGTGTGGTTCCGTTCGCAGTGGGCAAAATAATTGTTAGCGGGGTTCGAAGACCAACAGTGAAACAGCAACAGCGTTTCACAGGTTCTTCAAGGTTCTTCTCCGTCTAGGATTTTAATACTATGCCAAAACTATCAAGGAAAAGGCTTTGTGACCAATTGGATTTTATTGAGAAGATGATGAAGATGAGGAGGAAAACCAGAACCTCCAGACGCCTGGAGCGGCTACTCTTAAATATACAGGAATCGTCCCCAACTATTCCTCCCGTTTAGATTTTACCAAGTACCTGACTTCCTCGTACGTCTTGCTTCCTTCCCTTCTGAATAACCTCTTCCTTCCCATCTTTGGCATATATATCAATGCCTTCCCTCCAGAAGGCCTTATGCGGGGTAAGTGCTGTGTCGCACAGGCCCGTCGGTCAGGGGTCGGTGCCGAGTCCTGACAAAAACCATCAGTTCACCAACATGCCCGTCCTTATTTCCCTTTTTCTTTTCTCTTCTTTCTCTTATCTTTTCGGACATCTTGTATATGCACGATGCATGCACCATATATGTACGGCCTCGGTCAAGTAGCATGTGCTAGGTGCAGCCTAGAAGGATGGCGATCTGGAGAAGTCCGTCAACGCATGTGAAGAGAAGGATTCATAAACAACTAGGCGGATGCTAAAGCTCTGCTCTTTCACCAAATTTTCTGGACCAGGAGTCACCCGAAAATGCTCTGCGTCGTCAATATTTCGTACACCACTTCTGCCCCGCTTCCGACACGGCATAATATTTGGACACTTACAATTGTTCCTTCGATCCTACACTCTACCGATAACTACCACTGACGTCACAACAAAGTTAGAAGTTTAACATGAAGCCATTCGCAACTTATGGCCCAAGAGATTTGTTTGTATATTTGCAGGTTCGGAAGCAACTAAGCCATTGCTCAGTCATGCTGAGTGTCCTATGAGAACAAGTGCGACTGGTGTTCCGTTTCCCTCCGCTCGCTATTACTGTCAGCAAAATCTCCAACACATAACTTGACCAAGTGCCCTGTCAACCAACCAAACAACTATCAATGATCTCGAAATCTCCTGTGGCTGTCTTTGTGTTGAGTCACAATCCCTCAGTCTTAGTCTACTTGCTCAGGGGCTCGCTGTTCTTCTGGATATGTACAAGGCTAATCCCGAGAATGTTGCGGAAGTGGAACTGCGCCCTATGGCTTGTCACCCGGGAGGTCCCGACACCGCCAAACAACGACATCCAGCTGACCACCACAATAGATGCCCGGTTGCCACTTTGAGGATTCAAAATGAGATTTTGTCCTGGTTGAAGATCTGGAGCTTTCCGGGTTCCTTTCGCTAGCGCCCGCTATTTGCTTGTTCCTGGATTGTCTTGATGCTAAAAAAAATGGAGATTGGTTGGGCAGTGTCGGAACTCTATTGCTCCTTTGAGACCAGGGACGGACAAACTCGGTGTTTTCAGTCAGCTCTCGTATTCCAAATTTTCCCTGAAAGGAGTTGCAACTGGGGGTAGGAAAGGACGATATAAACGTCCTGTGTCTAGTGCTGTCCGACACATATGGACCATCATCACAAACCTCAAGCGAGTTCCATTACAACTTCACATCACTCTCTAAACTCTCGATGAACACCCCCAAAGTAAACATACTCCACGCTCCAGGACAAGCGGCCCAATTCAGCCGTGCCCTGATATCAACCTGTCACACCCGGCCTCTCCTGTTTGGGGGCCTTCGAGTGGTCACTTCCTTGCATCCAACACAGACAAGCCTCTCTTCCCCATCACCTCGCAGCTTCTCGACAACAAGCGTTACTCGACTGAAGGATTTCTTCCCGGCCAAAGAGACCGCCTATATTCGGCAGACACCACCCGCGTGGCCTCACCATGGATGGACAGAGGAAGAGATGACCTCGGTTGTTCCCGAGCACCGGAAACCCGAGACTGTGGGCGATTGGCTCGCATGGAAACTCGTACGAATCTGTCGGTAGGTAAATCCCAAGGAGTGTTCCCATATTGCTCCTCAAGTATCTTGCGGACGCGGAAACATACGTAGAATCAAAGTGTTCTAATATTAAACAGATGGGCTACGGATATAGCTACGGGCATACGTCCAGAGCAGCAAGTTGATAAACACCACCCGACAACCGCCACCAGTGCGGATAAACCTCTGACCGAAGCCCAATGGGTATGTTTCATGGAGCCCTACGATGACGGAATGGCAACACATGCTAACCAAATGTCGCAAATCCATATAGCTCGTCCGCTTCATCTTCCTCGAATCCATCGCCGGCGTTCCCGGCATGGTAGCCGGCATGCTCCGCCACCTGCACTCCCTCCGCCGTCTCAAGCGAGACAACGGCTGGATCGAGACTTTACTTGAAGAGTCCTACAACGAGCGTATGCACCTCCTCACCTTCATGAAGATGTGCGAACCCGGCCTCCTCATGAAGACGCTCATCTTGGGAGCGCAGGGCGTCTTCTTCAATGCCATGTTTCTCAGCTACCTGATCTCCCCCAAAATCACCCACCGGTTTGTCGGTTATCTCGAGGAGGAGGCCGTACATACCTATACGCGGTGCATCAGGGAGATTGAGGAAGGTCACTTGCCAAAGTGGAGGGATGAAAAGTTTGAGATCCCGGAGATGGCGGTGAGGTATTGGCGCATGCCGGAGGGAAAGCGGACGATGAAGGACTTGATTCATTATATCCGCGCGGACGAGGCAGTGCATAGGGGCGTTAACCATACGCTGAGCAATTTGGACCAGAAGGAGGATCCGAATCCGTTTGTGAGCGACTATAAGGAGGGCGAGGGCGGGAGGAGACCGGTCAATCCGGCGTTGAAGCCGACGGGATTTGAAAGGCCGGAGGTCATCGGTTGATCTTGGGCGGAAGGTCTTGACAGATGGTTGTGGTTTGGGTTCATGAAGCCAGGCGTTTTTGGACCAAGTTGTATTATGCGTGTTACACTAGATACCCCCCACTCTCTTTGCTGTTTCTGGCGTTTTGGTAAAAAGATACTGGGACCTTCTCTCTGTGCAGCAGTTCACTGTTTCAAAGTGTGTACTTGTTTCGGATCTTCACTCCGAAGGTCGTTGATCTCTCAGGATCAATTATATCTAGCAATAACAAACCTGAAATGTTAAGCTTTTTAGATTCGTTCCCCGGGTAACTAATCGGTGCAAGTTCACATTGCAACTTCTACCCAACGCATGGAAGACCAAGGTATTCGATCGTGCTCACTTGAATTCGATCAATGATAAAATTATGTGCTCAGCCATGATCAACCGAATATATCGTGAAGGCGAGTTCTGGACCTTCCGACGTATACCCAGGATGATAGCTCAAGACGTCCATTAGAGTGTCTATATTTACACACGTCTAGTGTAGGCATCCTCGAAAGCAAGCGGAGAATGATGAAACAATGGTATTATGCAGCGATATATCAGAGTCAAATAATGGCTCGAAGACGAAATGTTGGTCGAACGAAATTACAGGGCTGTGGCTGTGTACAAGCCACTGAAGTGCAATTTGTTAGCGTGGTGAACTTTGGGTAACAGATTTTGCCGGAGATCTCACCATAAACTGATAGCACCGAGGACCGGACCCACCAGAGGATAGAACCGACAGGATGACGGGGATGCGACTGCAAGGTACCAACAGGAACAGATGAACCAGAATAGGAACACTTCCAGGAACCGAAGACTGAGGCTGAGCACCGCGATGGATGTGATATGCCTCGATGGATACTGCATTCTGACCCGCAGCACGTCCTGACGGCGTGTTTCAGAGAGCTGTTTTGTCATGTACCCTGGCAACGGCATGTCACAATCACGATAGCCAGCCTGTTGCTTGCTTGTCCAAGGTAAGAGGTATCTGTCCGCGGCACCAGCCCGAACAAATACCACAACACTCTATTTTGCCCCTGGATTGATACGTATCTGGTTCTCACAAGGTGCAGTGGCAAACTGGTCTTGGAAATGGATGGCACCAATCTCGACACATGAGTGGTTCGCTGACGAGAAGATATCTCTTCACTAGAGGTAAGAAAGGGTGGTGTTGCAATTTCACGTTCAGAACGATGGCAGCGAGACCCAGGCTTGCCAGACATGCCAGGACAGGCCCCTCCATGGACAGTGCGGTTGACACCTTCCAGGCTCTATGCCTGTGAGTGAGTGGACGGGATGCGAACCGGCAGAAGAAGTTCAGAAACAGGTCTGCGTGCCCAGGAAGATCAAGGGAAGTTGACATTGTTCCCGTCGCTTACTCAGGGATTCCATCCAGCATTTATTTGGTGGCATCCAGTGTTGCAAAGAGAAGACGGGAATGAGGATCTCTCACAAATCTGGGCATCAATGAATTGACTTTTATGAGTCCTCTACCTCTTTAAGATGCCAACCCCGAACGGTAGCCCCACCGAAAGCGAAGTGGGTCTACTCAGCAGCAGCAGCCTTATGAGCGAACCCAACCATTCACAGAACTGACAGCGTCTGAACCCCAATGAATGGATCACCCCAACTGCCCGTCTGTCCCTGCCATGCCCTGCCCTGACCGTACGACCCCGCGATTGCCCTGTGGGTGGCTTCGTGCCTGAAGTGGAAGCCGAGAAAGCCTTCGATTCCCGATCTCCCCTTCAATCTCGACTCTTCCCGAGAAGGTCTCCGTCACGGTGTCGTCGTCGGGGCAAACGAAGCAGAGGACGGACCAACGACGACATTCATACAAACTTAATCTCCATCGCATCCCCGGGCATCCATTCACTCCACCATTCATGGAGATCATATACATACCATCTGTTCGCCCTCCAAAGTCCAAATGCAATTAACTTGTGATCCCCTTTCGTCGTCGGGTCAAAGGGTCCAATCCACTCCAGTCAGCCGGGCAGTCCAATCTTCCACACAACCACTCAAACTTCCCATCCTCAGTCCTAGCTAGCTAGGCACACAGGCGCTTAACACGGCAATCTACTGTATCTATCCACCTCTACTCTTTTCGTCATCCCGATCACCGAGACGTGCCCTGTCTCAATCAAATCAACCAAGTCCCAACACTGCACAACCATCGAGTACAGCTTTCAATTTGAACCTTCCACAGCCCAGCACTTGAACCCATACATAGGACCCGGGTTCCATCATTTGGTCCTGCTCGTCCGGTCCCGCACCGGTCACCAAGCTATCAGTCGGGTTCGGTTTGCCGGTGTCAGTCCCATCACTGGCTGTCGCAAGCATGTAAGCACAGCCCCAACGCACCCACGCACCTAAACGCACGCACGCACTGCCACTGTGTCCCGGAAGGCTGACTCGAGGGAAACTGCCTCGCAACTCGCAGCGCTTCTAAAGACAGAAACACCACGCACTCTCAATTCCGTCCGCTTGCCGACTACCACGCGATTCCTATGGACCAACAGTACACCGACGCCCGTGGCCGATCGCTGTCGGCCGCGTCCACCGGCGGAGGACAGGTCCACGATCAACAGCAACAGTCTCACATAAGAAACCACTCGCCGTCTCCAACTCCCTTTCCTAATTCGAACGATGGCGTCAACAACGGTTTGGGACTTGGCCTTATCGATCCCTCTGCCTCGCAGCATTTTCAACCTGAATTTTCCTACGGCGGCCCGAACCCGTTCCAGCAACATTCGCCCTTCTCACAGCCTGGGTTGGATTTCAACCAAGGTTATACAAACCAATTAGAAAGTCAGGACAACTCGTTTGGTGGCTTGTCGCAACCCGCCTATTCTCCGAATCTCATGGCATCCAACTTTGGTGACGCCGACTACGGCCTTTTCCCCACGACCACGACCGCGGGCCAGTTCAACGGATCGCTGTTCATAACCGATAACCAGCCTATCAACAATGTGGATCCAAACATGATGGCTCAAGGCTCTCACAGCCCGGAGCCGCCTCATCTGCTCAGTCCAGAGATAAACTCGCCGGCATTTGCCCAGGGCCGTTTCCCCATGACAACAGGAAGGCATTCGCGCAATGCATCTCTGGGCCCAGAGGCTGCTCTTCTTCCAGGGCAGGACTGGAGCCATATGCCTCAGTTTCAGGGCCATCGACGCTCAGCCTCGGAGCTTAGTGATGTCTCTTCGGTAGCCCATTCGCCCAACCTTGGGGGATTGGACAGCTTTGACCCGATCGAGAACAACCACTCGCCTCTTCAAGGGCCGCAGGCCGATGCCCTGTACAGTCAGTTGAACGGGATCAGCAACTTCAGTCTGTCGGACGACCATATCGGCAGGAGTCCGTCGCATAGTCCGGCGGTCTCCCCTCGGATCCATCCCCAGCAATCACCGGACGAGATCGATCCGAACCAACCCAACCATTTTATGCTACACACACCAGCAAACAGTTTTGGTCCGCCAGCGACCTACATGCAGCCGCAACAGGAGGCTTTCCCGCAACTGTCACTGGATGACCCATCTGGTATGCAGGCCCAGCAGAGCATGCCAGCTCCTCCGGCAATCAACATCGATTTCGCTCCAGCGCCCGCTAAGAGCGGGCTGGATCAGCCCACTAACCTGGACAATAATTCACTAGCCCTACCCAACAGAGGTATGTAGCCTCGAGATAATGCGATGGAAAATGGGACATTAGCTAACAATTTGGTGCTAGCTCGAGGGCGGATGCGACCACGAGCGGTCACGGACCCTTTCAACAATAGCGGTTACCGATCTCCTTCTCCTTCGGGAAGTCTTTCGCCGAGCTCGGCTGCGGACCTCAGACCGTCAAGCGCACGTTCACTTTCGCCCATGGACCGTTCAGGAGCCGGCTCTATTAATAGCAGGAGACGCCAGTCTACGTCGTCAGTACCCAACAACGTGATAGCACTTCGGCTTGCCGACCCCAATTATAATGGTTCTGGGGAAAATGGAGGTGGCCCGAGAAGGGCTCAGAAGCACCCCGCTACTTTCCAATGCAAAGTATGTCCAAAGCGCTTTACCAGGGCATATAACCTGCGCTCCCACTTGCGCACACACACCGACGAGAGGCCCTTCAAATGTACCGTCTGCGATAAGGCTTTCGCGCGCCAGCACGATCGCAAGCGTCACGAAGGTTTACATTCGGGCGAAAAGAAGTTCATATGTAAGGGTGAACTTCCTGTTGCTGGTCAACAATGGGGCTGCGGCCGAAGATTTGCGCGGGCGGATGCTCTGGGTCGCCATTTCCGGTCGGAGGCGGGAAGAATCTGTATCAGACCTCTTCTGGAAGCGGAGAACCGTGAACGGCAACGGCAGTATGCTGAGGCAATGCAGAATGCAGCCCAAGGCATGATGCAACAGCAGGGCGGCATGATGATGTCGCCTGGTATGGACCCCAATGGCGAGTTCCAGATGGACCCCTTTGTACTCCCACAGGCGCTGTTGGCACAGTATCCTGCTCTGGCCCTCCTGCCCGCTGGGCCTGCGGCTATGGGTGATGGAGCCGGCTTAGAAGAGGATCTGGGAAGTAATTACGAAGCTAGCGACTACGATGATGTCGAGGAGGGAGGCTACGTTAGCGGTCCAGGGACAGGGTTCGGGCCCGGAAGCATGCAAGAAGGGTACGGGGAGTTGGGATATGCGAGTGACTACGGCGGCCGTTAGGCATAGTGTCATGACATTTCAGGCGAACAACCCTTCGGGGAAAGGGAGGGCGTTGGGTGGTATACTCTATTTATTTATTGTTTTACAGATGATTATCGGTCACTGTTTGGATCAGATGAGATTATACGGTGGTGCGCGGTTATGGTTATTGTTGTCTTATACATTTACTTCTCTGTTTGGATACACTTATCCCCCAGCATTGCAATTCTTCTTCTTTTGTATTTGACTGGAATTATTTTTGGCTCGAAGACCCGTTTACACAGCGCTTGCATGCGCGGACGTTGAGCGAACATAGAAATATTGTCTGATGAGGACAAATAAATGTTACATGTATGACGATGTACTCCATGTTACTTATACAGAGTTGTTGAATAAGCTGATCACAGTTGATATCATCAAATCCCCCGCAAGTCAGCATATAATACAGCTATTGAACCCGTGACAGCTACGTTCTTCCCTACAAGTCTTATTCTGATGGCTATGCAGTGAGCCGCCTCGTAATCTCATCATCCGGATTGATCGATAAGCCGCCCCACGCAACCGCAACATTAATATCACATCACCATCACCATTACCATATCTCTCGTCATCCCTCCTCAACCCCACCCATTTCTCCATGTACATACATATTTCAAGTCTGTTGTATCTCCTGTAACAAAGTCCTCCCCCTTCCCGCTCCCGACGCTGCGCCAGACCCCTTGGACGACCTCAACTCTTGCATCCACTTGGCTACGACCTGGTCCACCACCGTTTGCAAAACCTCGTGGTGGCCCTTTTCGAACTTTGCTTTGACAAAAGGGCGCACGATGGCTGGACACTCAATGGTGGCGATCTCGACCAGTTCGTACTCGTAGTTGTCGATGGAGGTGCCGGTGACTTTGTTGATTAGTTTTTTGTTGTTGTTATTGTCGTCTGCTGTTGCATGTTTGGATTTGTTCACAACACCAACATCATCGCTACCACCTTTTCGTAGGCCAGCTCTTAGTCCTTGTCCTAGTCCCAATCCCAGTCCTTGTTCGCCTTCCTGCTGTCCTTGTCCTTGTCCTTGCCCTTCTTCGTTTCCTCCATTTCCTTTCTGTTCCTGTTCCTGTTCCTGTGGCCGCCCCTTGGCCCGATAGCGATGCCGAACCTCATAACTGCTCCTCACCACCACCGCCCCCGCCCCTGCCGCCGGCGCTACTGCCTTACACCGAACTCCGTAGCCAAAGCTCTGAAAGGTACAAGGCACGGAAACTTCTTTGCTTCCTAGTAAGGAGCCGCCGCCTAGCCAGTCCGGGAGGGGAAGAAGGGGAACGGAGTCGGTGATGAGGAACGATTGAGGGTTAAAGCCGTCTGGTCCCGGAGGGTGGAAGAAGGATGGGTCGTCGGTGAGGGATGGAGGGAGGGGGTGGGGAGAGTTAGAGGAGGAAGGGGAAGAGGGTGAGGAACTTGAAGAGGAGGTCGGGAGAGGAAGGGGAAGGGAGATGTAGGATTTTAGGTAGGGGTTGGCGGTGATGAGGGGGACGTAGGCGTGGAGGGCGGAGAGGAGGGCGGAGGGGGGAGTCGGTGGGGGGAGGGGGATGCGGGTTATTATTTTCAAAGGGTGGGAATGGGACATGTTTGAGTTGGGAGTCGGTCGGTGGCGATGAGGTGCGGCGGTAGGTGTGTTGTTGTTGTTGTTGTTGTTGTTGTTGTTGTTGTTGTTGTTGTTGTTGTTGTTGTTGTTGTTGTTGTTGTTGTTGTTGTTGTTGTTGTTGTTGTTGTTGTTGTTGTTGTTGTTGTTGTTGTTGTTGTTGTTGTTGTTGTTGTTGTTGTTGTTGTGGTGATATGAGAGTGCCAAGTCCGTACGGGACTCGGAGAGACCGATGCGGAGACCCGACGGGAGGAGGTGAACGGGGCCGGACGTCGTTGCCAAGGCCCGATGGCTGCCGATAGGTTGATGAAAGCTTCCGGTTTGTGTCAATTTGAATGAAGGATGTCCGTCTCATAGACAAAGGGTTGATATCAGGCGGTTGAGCTGGGTTGAGTGGGTGGAGTGGTTAGCCGGAGGGTGCCTTGGGTAAGTTACAGACAGGTACGAGTGGTGTGGGCGATTCCTGATCTGCAATGCCGACAAGCGTATATCACGAACTGATGACCGCAAGTCTGATACTGTCTCCGAGAGTTGAGATGTTGTTTTATGGAGGATCGTAAGCACATAATAGCAGGAAACCCAGATGACAGTAGAAAAAAAGACCGATATGCTCTGTTTTAATCTTGGCAGCTAGTCTGAACTCCGGAGCATAAGCACGGCTCACAGCCATCGCGACCCAATTTTAGCGGCTGAAGTGGACGCTTTACCTTGACGTCCGATCGTATGAGATGTAGCAGGGGCAGGACAAGCGACGAGAGTATGTAGTATACAGCGCCTATACACTCCCCAACCGGTAGCTGGAAGGTCTGACAGATCGTGTCTTGATTTGCTATTTTGGTACGGAACAGTCAGCTGTTGTTGCTGCGCCATCATCGCATGATCGGTGATGTACGCTGTGCCCTGTGGTTCAAGCGGCCGAGGCATGGCTATAGAAGTTTATGTACTGTGAATAAACTATCACTTTGATATGGTCAGGGGCTGCTTAATGCGTTAGTACACTATCTTATGTCAGGTCTTGGGTGTCGGCCAATAAGTCGTCTGGTGCCCCTGTCTTGGATGTCCAGGCAGTTCTTTGTATTGATCACAAGCGACTCCATCAGCCTTTCGGAATCCCTAATCTACCTATGACTTTGGTCCAAAATTTGCGACTTCCCAGACATAACTCTTCGCCTCTTCGGGTTGCTCGACCAACTGCCAGCCAAAGAAGCGTTCATCTGACGCTCGATTCCAGAACAAGGACGGGAAAGTTGGGGCGGTGAACCCCCAACGATCCAATCCCGCCGAGCCCACTGAAGCTCCAGGTCTTCTTCATGCAGTGGACCGCTGGAGGTATCGACAACCTCAAGGCGGAGGCAGCAGCAAGGGACATGGAAGTATCTCCCCCGCATCCCATGAACCCAAAAGTTCCTCGATCCGTCTCCGTCTCGCAAGGTATCCACCATTCACGACGCAGACTTGTTGTTGACGGCTTCAGTTGAATTGCGCCGAAGAGGGTTTGTCGGGTACATGCCAGAAGTTCATCCGAGCAAACAACAGGACGAACGACTCCTCCATCGTCCCTCCACTCCACGGCCACAGGGCCAATATCAAAATGGAGCCCGCCGCAAGATGTCGCGCAGCGTCCTGATGCAGCCCAACGTCCTCGCGGGCCCAATGGCTACCAGGTCAGGAATAGCTCCCTGCGCTACCCGTCAAAGCAGCCATTCACCAGCCGTCAAGAAACAGGCCCTCTCTTGTCCCTCGCAAACACCACTCGTTGTCGCTGCTCGGCCATGTGCAGTATGTAGTTGGGTACGGGTAGGCGCTGTCACTGCCGCATGGCTCGCATGATGCGTGCTGCAAACTGCAAACTGCAAAGGTCAATTTCGATACACATTGGTAACTCCAATTGCACCTTTGCCGTTGAGGAAAGGCCCAGGAACCGTCATTTCAAGGTGTTTGCAAAGCTCCTCTTTATCGTCTGTTCTGGGATCATGACGCCATCCTACTCTAGCACACATGGCTTGTCTCGCAGTTCTCGGATGATAAACAGACCCACCAGAACTAAAACTGGCCCTACAAGTTAGCGGCTATGGAAGTCCAGCCAACAACAAACAGACGATAGGCGCACAGCGATTGAGGAAGGACAAGGGAAGGGAGGGGTCGTTGATATTGCGATACCTTCCACTTTGTTTTCCACCTCCTTGAAGCCAATTTCTCACCTAGACCAAAACCCATTGGCTATTCAACTTGACTCGTCAACGCTCAGCATGGCAATGGTGTGCGCCATCAGGTCAGCAGGTAGCGTGAGACGCATCAAGCGGGTAGCGTCCAACAATCGAGCGAGATGCAGGTAGGGTCCGATTCTGTGGGCGATTGGTCTGCCTGGCTGCGTGTCGATGCGGAACATTTTGGTGGCCTGAGCGGGGGAGACCAAAACCCCATCTTTTCTTGGTCAACAAGGTAAAATACATATCAAAATCTGGAGGGGAAAGCTCGGCAACAAAATGAGAAAATGGACAAGCTGCAGCCTGGGTCAACTGGATCATCCCGCCCTTCAACTGGACTGGAACCAAAAGCACCCCTCCAGATACAGCAGCCAATAATGCTTTCCCCCAGCCATTCAACAAACAGCCCGGCACACCATTCCCACCTGGTGAAACAGGAAAGTGTTGGTGCCATGAAGGTGTCAACCGGGGTAAACCGCACCTCCAAACTGATAGAGGTAGTGCCGGACAGAGCCTCTGATGGCCCACCTTGCTGCCAACTTCGGTGACTCGGCCGCGCTTGTCGACCTGCCATCCCCTCACCATAGCTGAGGCGGGGAGAAAGGATCAATTGGAGCTGGCTGGGAATCGCAGATTGTCACTGCGAAGCCAAAAAGAGTGGTCTGCTCTTGCCACTTCAACGGTGTGTTCAGAAGCTGGGGAACGACACAGAAGAGAACCAAGGTCGATGCCCACGCTATCATAAACACCTGCACAGAAGCAAGCAGTACCTCAGTGTACTTGTTGTCCTGCATGACTACTTGACGGTCTTGTCTTGCCCGACCGACGGTTGGCCTCTGTTTGGCCATTGCCCCTCAACCATCAAGCTGTTCAGCACGGCTTCTTTGCCTCCCTTGACTCCCAGCTGCGCCAGCGTAGGAGGCAATCCGAGAATAAGATTAACTGCGGTATGGTCGCACAGCACAACCTGAAAGACGCATCTTCCCTCGTTCAACCCGTCTTCTCTTCACGATCCGAGCAGACCATTGGCTCAATTCCCAACGCCAATTACAGCCAGGCGACGAATCTCATTCCTCCAAAAAAGAAAAAGTTTGTGCAACTCAAAGGACAAGTTCTGGGTACAGAGACTGAAGGAGAAGACCGGAATTCCAAGAACAGATGTCCCTCTCTCAGAATACTATACCAGCTTCGGTTTGACTAGTGGTTTGTTTCTTTGAGCTACTTGGAAACCGAGCCGATAGTGACTTTCTCTCCGGACCGCAGCCTCTTTCGTTACGCGCCTTCCTCGAACCTCACCTGACAACTCCCACCGTCACTATATACCTTCTCTACTCGACACTGGCCTCAGCGCATCCACCCAAACGCCTCATGAACTGGTAATTTTTGCGACGATCCAGATCAGTAGACCCGAGTGCCGATATGGCCGCCGCTCAAGTTTGGACATTCCGCGAAAGCTGGGCAATATGCGACACATATGGGTCGAATACGGGGCCTTGTCCGGCAGGGCCAACATGGTGGTATGAGTGGAATGAAGAAAACGTGGAAGAGACTGTGAGGAGTGATGTGGTAAAGTCAAGATTGAACATAGTTGCGCAACGCTGGGTAGAATTGCGCGGTCCAAGAACTGTGAGTTTTGTATATCTTCAACTTTCGTCCCAACCCTGGTTGTTCTCGTCTTTACCTTTGTGGAACTGCCCCAGGGGATCGCCTCTTAAAACACTGGCGTGCTTCCATAGTGGCAAGCGGGAAATGGGGGCCTGGGGTGCTCCAAAAATCCACTGGCACCTCATCGTTGCATGCTTGATCCATGTCAGCCCGCTCAATCTGGAAAGTCACCAGATCGTCTGGTCATTAGATCGTCCGAACTCTGGGTTATATATGCTAACAGGGCGCGTCACAGCGAGCTGCAACGTCTCCCTCACGTTCCTATCCAGTCACCACGCTCGACGGAATGTCAAGACGATCCCGCCTCCCATCAGCATTGCATGCGCCACAAGAAGAGGACTCGAGATGGTCTTCTTATACTCCCCGCGACCCGACAGCAACCGCTCAGCGGGCGCAAAAGTCACAGCCCTCCCGGAGCAGCCTCCCTAGACCTGTTTCCAGCAGTATACCTCGACCGGTTGCGACAATACCTCGATCCGATCCGAAGCGGCGTGGGAAAGACGGTGATTCATATCCCGACTCGAGTCCATGGCCTTGGCTTGACCCCGACCAAGATGACGAATTTCGACAAGTTGCAAAGAAGAGTAAACAGAAAAAGAAGACCGGCGGCGGCGGTGGTGGCGGTGCACAGCAACCAAAGCAAACAAATAACGATGGTGGTGAAGGTTCACAGAAGGAAGGCGACGATGGTGGTTATGACGGCAAGTCCAACGGCGGGGATGCCAGCAATGGTGCTGGAGGAGGTCCAGGCAAGTCAGGCAATGGAGGAGACAAAGGCGACGGTGACAAAAAGGACGAGAAGGCCAAGAAAGAAGCCGTCGATGATGAGGGCCAAAAGAAGGACGACGAAGAAAAGGAAGCAGAAAATGCAAATAAATCGCCACTCGACGATGACTGGAATCAAGCAACCAGCAAGATAAGGCAAAAAGGAAAGCGAGGTGATGCTATTGGTTCTGTCACCCAAGATAAGCCTACCCCGCGGTCATTGGATGACAAGGCGAAGAGCCATGGCAACTCGGA